AAGAGACAAAATGCACTCTCTAGGTCGGGCACGAAGAAGGGAGAAAGGAGGGAGGGAGGGCTAACGGAGGGCGGACGGAGAGAGGAGGGAGGGAGGATCGAGGGAGAACGGAGGAGGAAGGACGGAGGGGGAAGGGAGGATCGAGGAGGGCAAGGGGGACAGGAGGGAAGGAGGAGGGACGGAGGAGAGAGGAGGGAGAGCCGAAGGCCGAGGAACGAGGGAGGGAGGAGATCAGACGGATGTCGAGCAGAGAAACGAAGGGGAGGGCGGAGGGAGGGCGGAGAGGAGGAGGCCAGGCGAAGATGAGGCGGAGTGAAGACGGAGCGAGAGAGGTCGGAGGGGCGGCGATCAGAGAATTAGAGACTCACTTGTATCAGCCATGCCCACGAAGCCTCCAGCCGACAACGATCAACCAACAACGCGCAACCCTTGGGCGACAGCTTAGCGGAGCCGTCCAAGTTCCACAAAAACAGATAATGCCTGGCTCCACTACTCAGCAAATGTAGTGGTTCAAGGATGGGCCTGGCTCAGCCCACTACTCAGAAAATAGATAATGCCTGTATCAGCCATGTCGTAGTCGTTCAAGCTCCACAGAAGTAGAGAATGGGCCTGGCTCCACTACTCAGCAAATGTGCAAAATGAGAATGAATCTTCCGCTAGAACATGGGAACATACACCGCCATTTGTTTTGTCTTTTGTGCATGTGGTGAGTAGTGGAAGGAGGCCCAATGGCTCAAAGGGGCTCGCCACACAGGCCTTCGAATGAAGACTTTCTTTTTTTTCTTTTTTTTTTTAACAAAACGAATGAAGACATTTTTCGAAAGGTGTCAGACTTTTTTCGAAAGTCTGCTCGCCGAAAGAACGCCCCCCGGGACCGGTAGCGCTCCGCTGAAGGGCTTCTCTACCAGGCGTACTCTCTGTCAGGAGGCTGCAGGGCTCTGCGTCGGCAGCGAGGTGTGGGATTCGGGGTGTGGGGCGGAACGATGTCTTCCTCGTCGATTTCTAGGTTCGGCTATCCCCCTCAGCTCCGACAAGGGGCTGTGTCTCCCTGTGGAATACCAGGGACAGTGCATTTTTTTATTTTTATTTTTTTTATTTGCAATTATATTCTGAAAAGGTTGGGCCGGGGTCCCACAATTCTACCCCGAGTTACATAGTTATCCTGGCAGCCTCAGCCAGTTTAGCTTATGGTCCTCTGTCTCTCCTACCGAAGCTGCACGTCCTGCCAGTTTTTGGTCATTCACTTTGTCTGTCTGCGATTCCGTCGGTTGCTACCTCCGTCTCCCTAAATATTCTTCCCTCCTTACCCTGGAGCCAAATCCTCATCAGCTTTTGTTTTACAACCCGAACTTCACTCATATTGTCGTACTGAGAACACAGGATATAAGGGCCTGATCCCACTACTACACTATAGCCCAGTTACACTGTAGTTTGCGGATCCCACCACTTTCCTACTTCGTCGCAGCGGCCGAAATATTTTGCCGTACTTCCGTTTGTATGTGTCGTGGCAGCACCTCCGCGAATGGTGCAAGCGTAGTTGCCACAAATTTTGTGTAGGCCGTGAGGGCATCTCTGCAGCGAAAAAGAGGGAGCAATTTTTTTTTTTTTTTTTTTTTT